AGATAAAAAATATATAAAAGAACTCGAAAAACAAGAAGAAACTATATATATAAACTATTATAAAAATATAGAAAATATGCAGAAGTCGATAAATATAATATAAGAGCAAAAACATTTATAAAGAAGTACAAGTTGCCCTCATAGTTCAGCCTTGCACTACATGTATTACACTTATACAGCGTACGTTCATCTATTAGCAAGTGCCTTGCAAATCAAATAAGCCTCAGTCAAAGCACACATACCTATACACACACATAYATAATACACACACTCACACACACACATGTGCAACATTGTCAACCATAAATTTAACTAATATACAACTCTGCCCCACCCACCGAGCCCCAACTCCAACTTCAACTCCAGCTCCAACCCCAACCCGATTGCTGGCCAAGTCGATAGGAATGTGGTGCAATAATCAAGCCAAGACTCGGCCCAAGACTCGAGTTACAGTTACAGTTAAGGTAACGCATGGCAATGGCCATAAAATGACACTGAGTGTCAGTTTCAATTAAACATGTTGACAGCTGTAAGGGCAGCAGCCTAGCCAAATATTCAGCAGCCAACATAGAGAAAGAGAGAGTGAGAGAGGGATAGAGAGAGAGATTCAGCACGTCTGAGGGGTTGCTCAGGCTATTTCGATTTTAATACAAGAAATTCCTAGCATTGTTTGGCCATGCATTGTATCGACTATATTGTATATATATATATATGTATGTATGTTTGTGTGTTTGTGTGTGCGTGGATTTATTCATAGAGTATAGCATTTAAATGACAACTTTATTCCAGAGTTTCGCCCAGTTTTTTGCTAGCTGGTCGAAGACGTCTCTGATTTCTGACAGCCAATTGTAAGAAAACATTCATGGCTATTACAAATTTAAGTAATTTTATGTGTTCAGCTCCTTCATTTGCATTCATTCATTTATTTGTTTTGCATGCTCTGAGGATGCCTCAAGTTGATTTTCTTGAGATTTTTCGCACAGTTTCGTGTTGCTGTTGTTGTTCATTGATCAATTGACAAGTTGTCAAATGTTTTATTATGCTCGGTGGACGTGTTGTCGTGCTGTCTCCGCTCCAGGGAATTTAGTTTAATTAAACTGCCGACGTTTGGTAAATACGAGCATTTGATGTCCTGCACATGTGACGTTTGCATATTAATTTCCTGTAATTTTGATTGAGTTTTGCATAAATTTGCAAATGCTCCAAAAATCAGAGCAAGAGTCGAGGTGAGTCGAAAGAGACTCTGTTTATATTTGCCGAGACTTACCCTCGCCAATGCTTATGGCCAACCCGTCGAAGCACCTTCGCACCGTCTCATCTAATTGCAGCCCAGCAAATACTAAGAATTTTTGTGTCTTTTTCTTTTTCCTACGAGCTGGGCTGGCACTGGGGCGATGCTTTGTTTTCGTCACGGCCGAGTGGCGAAAAGCAATCACAGAGCAGTTGCACAAATATCTGGCTGCCGCCGTGGAGGGTCTTTTGTATTATTGGTGAAATTAGAATTTCTCATTAAAATAAGTGTTGCTGCTGCCGGACCCGGTTGACTTGACTTGAGACGTAGTCGCTCCGAGCAAGGTGCTCGGCCATGGCATCGGACTTAAGTTACCAGATTTGCCCACTTCCATGCTTGCCGCTCATTAGTTGCGCCTCAGAGCTGACAGACAGACGGACAGACAAACGGACTGATGGACAGGCAGACAGGCAGACAGTGTCTCAGCATTTGTGCATTTGTATCTTTATTTTTTTTCTCTCCCCATTGTGCAGCTCCATGACAGCCTTGCCACTTGAGTTTCCTTGTCCATTGGGGCAGCTGGGCAGAACACCTTATAAAGGCATTTTGGCATTTTCAATTTTTAATGGATTCTGTATCCCAGTAATTAAAAGTGCAACTCTTTTTCTATTTCTCTTCATCTCCCGTCTAATAGGCTTACCAACTGAAACTCTTGGCTTTAATGCATTAAAAAAAAATATTTCCCATTTGCACTTTGATTGTTGAAGCAGCTGCTGATTTATCAGACGCGTACTCAAGTCAAACCTTTTAGCCACTCTTTGGCTCTAATTGTTGCTAGAGTAATCCAATTTATGGCTTTTAAGCACATTTAGCAACCCTTTTGCCCTTTTGTAATTGATAAGGGCTGCAACTATCGGGGCAATTATTAAAGGGGAAACTGCTCGAAGGGGAAGTGAAAGTCTAGCAATCTAGCTACTTGCCTTAACTCACACATACTGAAGGGAGAAGCATAAAAATGTATTTATTTATTTTATTTAAATGTTTTTATTGAGCTTTATTTCCCTTGAATATTTAGTTAAGAATAATATTATTATTATTGTTGTTAATATTAATATTTATACTAATGGAATTATTATCTTTTGGTTTATTTTTTTATATCTAGTATATATATATAGCTTTGTTCCTTGTATATTTAGCTACGAATTATAATTTTACGATTGTTGTCAGTGTTCGTATTTATTTAAAAGAATTATTATTTTTTTTGTTGATTTTTTATATTTTTAAATTTTACTATCATTATTAT